TCTGCTAAATATACTAATATGTTGGCTTGATAGTAGAGAGATAAATCCGGCATATTACATCCTCCATTAAGGTTTATGTCTGTTAGTGTTTTCCATCTCACTCTGGGTTTCTTCGCTCCAGAGGAATTTTTTCAGTTCTTTAGTCCAAATGTTGAATGGTTTATTATTTGTTATTATTGGTAGAGTTGAAAACAGGAAGTTAAATTTTGGCAATATCGACATTTTGATGGCAGCTATTTTACCTAAGAAGGAAAGTTTAAATTTTGCCCATTTTTCCAGATCTTTTTGGATATCCTTCTACGTGTTGTTATAATTGTTATCGTATAAATCAGTATTCTTATTGGTGATCCATATACCAAGATACTTAGCTTTTTTAACTATTTTACAGTTGGATTTTGCCTCTAGTTGATTTTTTTCCAAGATAGTCATATTTCTAGTTATGAATACTGATTTGTTTTTATTAACTTTAAACCCGGCCACTATTCCATAATTATTTAGTATGTTCATTAACTTGTCTATGAGTTGTGCAAGTTGTGTGTGTTCAAAACAGTTGTGAAAGTTGTGAGAACTGGGAATCAGTAAGTGGGGAATAAACACCAAGTAATATTTGTTCAATGCTTAAATAACAATAGCACTCTGGACAAATATATATATATATATATATATATAGGGAAAAAGACAAAATCCTCCTTTTTCCTTCTGAACCTTTCTGAATATTATTATTATCCTTGGAGTTTTTGGAGGTTGTATTAATGCAGCTCCTGGTGCAGCCAACATTTTACCAATGATTGTAGCCCTCTCATTTATGAGTTAGTGATTGGGGAACTAACTGAAAGCTATTAAGGTGTTAATGCATGTTGCACAATTGGTTCTATAACTCTATGTATGGGCTGCATACGGGTTGCACTTGCCCAGCTGCTGTTGCATGCAATAACACCCAGTTTTAAAATTAAATTCGACTATATCCCATCAAAGATAAGTCTGATTTTAAAATTAAATGTGGGTGTATCTCATCAGGGCATAAATCACTTTACATACAATGCTATAATTTCCTCAGTTTGGATCACACCTTGCTTGGTGACTTTGGTATATATGTGAGCCACATAAAATTCACTGACGTGATGGTTCATATATTCAGATGGGGGAAACATGCACACAGAATGAATAAATAACAGCTTGTAAAATATAGAGAACACAAAATTAACATTAAAAAGAAATGAAAGATACAATCTTTTCTTTAAAATATTTCATGGCAAGTAAGGGCTTCATTGTCTTTCACATAAATCATGATAATTAAAAATGGATTATAACAACATTACATCATACAATGTTTTATCATAAAGATCAATACAGTACAATTATGCCATTTCATGAGGGTCATCAAGAAGGCAAACAAATACTTCTGCCTGTTCACCCTTGAATTATTCCCTTCAAAAAATAATAAATCTTCTTTCTTCACTATTTCATTTTGAATAAGAAAATTAAACTGAGGGATCATAACAAATGCATTCTTAATTAAAAATTTGTCATTATACTAAAGTCTTCTCATGAGTAGTTATGTCATAAGATCGCACTCTAAGTCATACTACAGTTGACCAAGAGTAGGCAAAGTGTGTCCCAAGCCATTTATTTTAATCCTATGGGTAACCACATCATATAACCTTCTACAACTGGGGAACTGTTGGGGGAGGGAGCTGCCTCAAAATGGCCAATAGTGTTCCAAAACATATAGAGAATGTTGTTACCCATTTTATCATGTTTGGGAGCCCATAGAGGCTTTTCTTCAGTCTATAGGAGTTGTGTGTTTTTTTTGCCCAGAACAGGAGAACTGATTGTTTCTTTCCTTGGAAAAATAAAGTCTTGTAGAGAGTATAGACAAATTGGTAGTAAATCTCAAAATTAAGATGT